AGAGCCACAAAGCATCTAAATGTGCTGCACACATTATGCTTGCAAACATGTAAATCATCATCAGAACAACAACCATCTATTATTCCAATCCACTTGTCCTGAGGAGGTTCACGGGGGGTGGAGGGGCTGAAGTCGGGGTCCATTGACAAGTAGACAAACAGCAATTTAGAGGAGCAATTTAGAGTCACCAGTCAAGCTAAGCTGCAGGTCTTTGGACTGTGGGAGGAAGCCGGAGTCAAAACAGCATAAAATTATGCTAGTAAATATGGCTGCTAATAGGCAGATGCTCTGTGTCTGCAGCACTCTCAGTGGACACCTGGAATTAGACTACATGCACCCTTAATGACATTTTAATCAAAAGACATCTCACATATTAATATTGATCATAATATCTAATTGCTGCAAGACCCACAAGGAAAACAGAACAAATTTGCTTGATAACAGTGACATCCCAGATGATGTCAGCAGCTAAATGAGGGCACGCTGGCCTCTACAAAGACCCTGAGAACATGAGTACTAGACCTTGTGTCTAATGACTACCGTGTATAGGAGGAATGAACAGCTATGGATAATAATAATAATACATGCATTATGATGATTGCCAGTTTTATGCCTTTATGCAGTGAAGAAGAAAGGAAACTAGCCGCCCCACAGTGACACAGGAACGGCCGTGAAGTCACTGGCCCACAGTGGCGGGGCAGACTCAAAGCTGTTGTAATTTTCACCCTAGCTAGCTCTACTTAGCAGGCATAGCTGTAGCCTATGTCCTCTTATTATCATCACTAAAATAGTAACAGGTACCAGGTGCTTTCCCCAACATTTGACTGATGGAAAAACAAAAAGGCGAGCAGAATCAAGTGGAGTCGAACCGGTACCAGGAGGTGGACATGGGCCTGTTGTTTGGGAGGATTAGCTTTACTAGTACAGGCAAGATAACGACTGTCACCAACATGGTTAAAACTGATCACAGTGCTGTGCACAGCACTGTTATCAGTGATGGTCACACATCTCTATGAGAGTACTCTATAATCTGCTAACATGTCAAATAGTCAGAAAACACAGTGAGCGAATGCGTTCTGCTCCAGTTCCTCTGTTTTTCAGCTGTGTCTTATTGACACTGAATTGCACAAAAGCAATCAAGCTACTGTATGTTCACAGCACCTGGGCGGTCACAGCGACAGGGGTCAGTGAAGAGACGAGGACATTTCATACGTATTGGACATTTATGGAGAAGCGTCTGATAAATCCAACCAGAAGGAACACACTGTCACCGAGCTGCTTGTGAGGAACTGCATGACTTGACCATCACACAAATAATGATGTTGTTGTTATTCTGGTGCGCACGTCTCACATTTCAGATAAAACTGCACGTGGGGCCATTTAGGACGTCAGGAGTGTTCATACCATAGCTGGACTCATGTCACTTACAGACACAAATGTGGAGCAGCAACACAAAACAATCAGACTGCGATGTAAGCTGCTGGTGTTGCCGAGGCACGTAACTAAGATGTTGTTAAAAATGCGCTGCCCTTTCAGAGGTCTGGGTGAATGATCTGTTTAGTCTGAGCTGCTGCAACTTGTGGACTGAAAATTATTGTGATTACTATGTAAATAACGACAGCAGGTGGTTTCAGCCAAGCAGACTATTTGGTTGTGTACAGACTGTTCCAACTAGTTCTAACCCATCACGGGCATCAGCGAATCCCCAAAACCTTCTATTTAATTTATTACAAAGCACCATTTCACAACAACCATCATCTCAGGGCATTTTACTTAATCAGGTCCAGAGCTTAAACCATCCCGCTTGACCAAGCATTTGGTGACAGTGGGGAGGAAAAACTCCCATTAAGGCAAGAAACCTCCAACAGACCCTGGATCCTGGTGGGCTGCCTTCTGCCTCGACCGGTCAGGGTGAATAGATAGAGGAGAGAGAAAAGAAAAACATCAGGACATAATGAACATGAAACACAGAGATGGAGAAGACTCAGTAAAGTGATTAATGGTGGCTGCAGCAATGAAGACGAGATTTATTGTGAAGTAGAGACATCTGGGAGGATGAAGGACGAAGTAGGCGGAACTTCTCTCTGAGTCACCTGTTGACACAGCCCGCGAGGCTGTGGGCCCGTCAAATCGGAAGGTGGACACTCAGGGGAAGAAAGGGAGAAGACAGATGGTATCTAAGCAGCAGGAAAGGAGGAGAGGTTAGCAGGGAGCCCGGTGCACAGTAAAGAAGAGGAGGAAGAGAGCACGGAACAGAAGGAGGCAGCCCGGTGCCCAGGGAACAAAACATTAAGGAGCTGAACGAAAGGCAGGAAGGATCAGCAAGTGGCCGGTGACAGGAAAGTCATAAGGAAGAGGCTGAAGGAGTCCTCATGGATTCGAAGAACAAAAGAAGCTGACAAGGCCGCTGCAGCCCGCCAAGCAGGATGCAGTGGCCTACAGCCAGGCAAATGGGGAGGGCACCGCAGATGAGATGGAGCAGGACCAGCAGCACAAACCCCCAAATAACGATGGAGAAGATGAACCAGCGACAGAGTAGAAAACAACACATAGTCAAAACAATATGGGAAACCACATGGACGGCAGGTGATCCACAAAAAAGCAGGAGACAAGTTTGATGGTTTAATCATAATAAGGAACGGAAGCAGCATGTGTTTGGGTCTGGTCACTCTCCTGAACTTCAGATTAAAATCTCCATTATAAGTGTGCACAGTCTGTTGTGCTGTGGTTGTGGTGCATCATGTGCTCTGCCACAAAGGTAACTGCCCCTAACTGCCCAATTGCCTGTTTTTTTAACACTACTTCATATATACACACATACATAATGTATTTATGCTTTACTTTCATTTACATGGGAACAATATCCCAGTATTTCCATTTTCCATCACACAAAATTAGTATGACAGGAAATCAGGAGTAATGTAATGTAGCATTACCACCCGTTCAGACCAAAACACATTACATCATTTGATGCATTCAGTTTGAGGAGATCCTACTGACAATCTCATTACAGAAAGCAACAGGTGTACAAGTCTCTCACAAACTTACCAGGCTCGGCCAAATTTTCCCCCAAGTTTTACTGATTTTGAGTCATAGCACTGAAATAACCTGTCTTCACAAGTTAAAGCTAAATTTAAATTACACACAACACATTCTTGGCCAGTCCCAAAACCAGCAAAGAAAAACAACCCATCAAAATATACAGCACTGTGAATAAGACATTGCTGCTCCATACCTTATATCTGTCATAGATTCTACATGTAGGAAAAATAATCAGGGTGATCAAAAACAATGTCCAAGCCATAGACATCACCAGACTGCTCTTACTTGGGCACGTGCCCCAGTATTGATCTGCTGTGCCCCAGTATTGATCTGCTGTGCCCCAGTAAAAACACACATTCAAGTTTTAACAAGCTCATATATTTAGAGGTGGATTAATTTATATTAATAGTAATGGGAATAGATTTGTTTTGTTGTTCTAATCCAGAGTGTGGAAGCAGCAGTGGCCAGGGTTCGTACACCATGGTGCACACATATGCACGTTGAAGTTGGAGCACTGCAGTGTGCACGCAGCAATCCATGTATTGACTGAAGTATGTGACTAATTTAAGTTTTTGAATAATACTAGTGATCTTATTTTGACTCAGACACTACTGATCACTTTAGAGGAGGCCAGGACAAGGAAGAGGTTCGGAGAGAAGAGGGTGAGAGAGGCGAGACCTGGCTGTAGTTGGTAAACAAGGTAACGTTAGTTTAGTGAACTAGTACGTAACCTGGTGTGGATGTAGAATGTGAAGTGGAGCCCTGTACATCAACACTATTTATCAGTGTAATAATGCATAATATATCACACGTATCAGTTTATGTTAATGTAAGAGTGTTCATTCTGCATATTAATGAATAGCCTTGATGCGCTTGTCACAGAGTCCAAATATTGTTTGCTTTATGCATTTTTAATAAACAAGTGAACCTGAGGCAGGAAGGGAAAGTGAGGAGGAAGCTGTGTGTCTATGGAGACAAGACGTGTGACCACCAGCCATCTACTGCACAATGCTATTTCAAAATAATTGGAGCATGGGTATGTAATGTGGCCTTATGAGTTACAAAATGGGGGGATGATTGCATTTTTCTTTAGATTAATTTGTTGTGAAAGCTTAAATTTGACAAATCAAACTGGTGCTGCTTGACAATTTATTGAAAAAAATGCAAAACAATGCAAAGAAATGTGCAATACAGCGCCAGAACTTTACACCATAAGTCATGTGGAGAATGTTCTTAATGCATGTTGAAATAAATAGTGTAATAAAGATTAATATCTTTACACTTTACCTTTACCCGTAGTTGTTTCGGTAGCATGGCAGTATGGCAGTGGAATAGTGGGTGAAGCCAGGGACATTCATATAGCACATTTCATTTATGCAGTAAATATTCAAGGAAAAAAAAGTGTGACTGGTGTAATGGGGGGCCTATGTCCCCCAGTACAGCTTGATGTCTAGAAACGCCCCTGGTCCAAGCTGGTGTCTTGTGTTGTCCAGCTAAAAGTCCACATCATCACATTTGAGGAGCCAGACTGTGTTTTTGCTTTTGAAGTTTCCTTCAATCATCATCGAAATTAGTGATGATTCATTTTCTGTGGGTTGAGTATCCTACTAATCTGCTGACTGTTTCAGCACTAAATGTTCGTATCATTTCTTACTCATACTGTGCACTGCATACAGGATGAACCAAGTCACACTGGACCTAATGGAATAAAAATGTAAATATGGGACACTGGCAAAATCGACCAAGGTTTCTGCAGGACATAGCTGCACATGTTGGCAGGTGATTTGCTGACTGAGGCTGCTTTCAGAGACATAAACATTTACATAACATGCTGCTTGACATGTGGATGGAAGCATCTGTCTTCCACCAGGCAGGTGACAAACAACATGTGCCTTGTGTTTTACATATGGCCCCACAATCTTGTTGTAGATGTGTGCGAGTGTGCCATTCCCACTCACCCTCATCGTCCTCGTCGAAGGAGTTCATGCAGGGGAAGTAGATGGCGAGGGCCTCGAAGGACGCTGACAGGCTGATGCGGCTCTGCGATCGCTCCATGTAGAGGCCCGCCGTCGGGTCCGGGTTGGCCGGCTTGGCCAAGCGCGGCTGGGCATTCTTCACGCGGAGTACGGCTCGCGGCGTCTTGGATGGCTATCAGCTGCCCCCTACGGCAGATCCACCTCAACCCGAAAAGCAAAGTCAAGCGAGAACCTTTGGATGCTCACACCGAGATCGGTGCAGAAACTTAACTCGCGGCAAGTTGACTCCACAGAAAGGTTTTGATGAAGCTCTTGGTGTGTCAGACTAAACGCAGAATCATCCTAGAAATGAAAAAGGTGATGCCAGATGTTTCTGTTGGTTGAGGTGAACTAATCTAACAGATTGTTTCTGTAGGTTTTAGCTGAATACCTATATATGGCTCTGCGTGGCACAGTTCTCTCTCTCCTTTCTTGTCATCTCTAGGTTTTGGATTCTTGTTTTGCTTCCGTGCTCAGACAGATGCTCCTGCACGTCCTCGTGTTCATCCCCTTCCTGTCCTCAGAAGTGCAGGTGGCAGTCTGATGGACTTACTGATGTCTGGTGGTGAATCTTACCTGCTTCTTCACGCCGATAAAACCTTATCTTGCTCCTTTTGTTTCACAGCGAAACTTCCTGAATCCCTGCATGTCAATCTAACCTCGTCCTCCTGCTTATGCATTCACAGGTCGGACGCCTGGTCTCCCTCAGATCCCGGTGAAGGAAGGAAATGGGAGGAGACGCTGGCGGTGGAGGTGACGCTGACAGTCAACATGAAAGGTGTTGCTTTCCAAGCAGATCAACGCTTTTTATTTCTCTCGCACATTCTGCCATTCCCGTGGCAAAAGCATTTATTTCACAGAGAGAAACTGACTTTCAAAACCCAGGAGATGCAAGCCGCAGATGTTGCTTCGTTTGCAGATCAACCAGGAGGGCAATCTGTTGCTTCTGCTCTGCTTTGAACTGTATTACAGATAATGTTCTGCTGCTGTTGTTGTAAATGCTCTTCTTGTTGTGTTGCTGTCTCCTCCTCTCCTATGTCCTCTGTCAGTCCTGTGTCGCTGCGCTGCCGATGCTGGGCTGTCTGCTCCTGAGGCGTAAAAGGACACAGAGCGAGCGAGAGATGATGCGAGAGAGAGACACATAGAGAGGGGGAGAGAGACATAGAGAGACACACAGAGAGAGAGTCTGTAGCGTTTCACAGCTCGTGCCTGACTGGGCTCATTCACTGCTGGTGAGCCGGTGGGGGGGACGATGGAGAGCAGAGAGTTGCTGACCACCCTGACCAATCAAAATGTGGATGAGGGAATATGGGCGTGGCTTGGGGCCAGCGGTGGAGGCGATGCAGAGCAGGACAAGTTTAGTGTGTCTGTTTCCTTTGGTCTCTGTTTCACTGATGAACCTTTTCCAAGCAGAAATCTTCAGAAATCCATGAATGAACGCCCAGAGAGAGAGAGAGAGAGAGAGAGATGTGTTCAAATGCTGAACAATGCATCTCTGTATAGTTTTGGTGCAGAATATTTTATGACAAATATGACCGTTTCATTTTGTTAAGAGGAAACTAAGGGTTAAGCAGAACTGGATTGCACTTATTGATTCCTGTGAAAGGTGCTCAGTGGGCATGCTCCAAAATTTTTTCCTGCTTCTGGATTCTAGCCATGCTCCACATGCTTCCACTGGGTGAAGTTCAATGCACATAAACCACACACAACGTTAAAGCTACAGTGTGTAACTTTTTTCAGGTATTTTTGTTTAAAAATCTGCTCCACTTGTCTTAATGTGGAGGAATGCTGTCGGAGCCTCCTGTGACCCAGACTCATTGAACAGTGCTGGCAGCAGTGCAGAGATATCAGCTTCTAAAAGGTCTTGAGCAGGATTGTTGTCTCTAACCAATCAAAGATTTTCAATTATTTCTGCTTGATTGGTAAGTTTTGTTGCATTCTCATTTATTGTAATGTCATAACAAATATCTGTCGTGTAGCAGGTTGTAACAGAGCAGAGTGGACAGATTTGGAGTTTCATGCTACCTTGAGTTACATGTTGCAACATAAATTGGACAGTGGCAATTGATGCAAACATCAGGGACAGTCACTACATGATCCACCAATATGAAGCTTGTAATGAGATGGAAGAGCAGCAGGAAGTGATATTGCTGTGAATTAACGGCAAGTGAAGACAGTGCACACAGCTGCGAGAGCGCGCTCAGTCCTGACTGGTGAAGATGTACTTTGTACTTGGAAAGATGGATCGTGGCTGACCAGCTGAATCCATTTCTGCTTGTATTTATGAAATCACTTCACTGCGTTCTCTCATTATATTAACCTCCCTCTGTCATGGAAATTCTTTTATATTTGACAGTTGCTTGGTCTCACAAGAACAAAACAGCAGCACGTCAGTGTTCTTTCTTAACAGTGTCTCTGAAAACCTTGTACTTTTACTGAAACAGAACAAAGGGCCCACCCTCAAAAAGAGAAAGACATGTACAAGTGTCAGTCACAAACCTTATCTATTTGTCAGGCAATAAAACCCCAGTCACTGTAGGTTCCTGGCACCCCACAGCACCACAGCCACCATTATCACATTCCTCTGCACAATAACAGAACAGACTCTCCAGGGGTGGTTATCTCAAACATTTTCAGAGCACACCTTTCACGTGACCCTTAGGTACCATAAGTCTAGCTCCACGAATGTGTCCCATGTCTGCTCCACCTCCTCTTTTCTCTCCTGTCTTCATCTCTGTACCGTGCACTCTCCCTCTGTTCCTCTATAGCTTGTTTTCTTTGAAGCAGAGGGAGGAGATGGGCTGTGCAATCAACAGCGCTTCACGGGGCTCCATTCATCTCTCTGCTTCCACAGACAGAAGACACACACACAAATGCACAGTTAAAAACAAGTAGAGACACCTCGCACACGCAGGCTCGCTCTGTCTTATTATCAGCCTGTCAGTCATGTCTGTAAAGCTCTTTGAACTGCATTAACCTGTACTAAGGGTGATATACAAATAAAAATTTGATTGATTTGTGCATGTACACATGGCGCACACAGGCAACGGTTGACAGAAACGATCAAGTAGCTTTCACATTGTCAGCCTGACTGCTAATTCATCACAGTAGCTTTATGAAAATGTCAGGAGTGGCAGCTCTGATCTTTTCATCTATGTCTCCATGACCAGCTCCTGTAAACATGCTGATAAAAAAAAAAAAAAAACTTTTTGGAGTGTAAGTTATCTGCTAATAGTGAATTTCATGCATTTAGAGCCCATGACCTGCTATACCTTGTTTTGTGACTTATCTACAATGTTACAACGGTGAATCATCATCTTAGACGTGACCTAAAGCTCAAAAACTGAGGTGTACGTATGGTCTAGTATATCTATGCAGAAGCAACTTGGTTTATACAAGTCTCAAACTCTCACCTGTGAGACATTTTTTCTAACAAAATTAAGTATTACGTGATAGTTTAAGGATTTCCTTGAATGGTCATAATCTCCAGGCAGTTGCACGTTCATGTGAGTTTGCCTGACATCCACCGGTGCCACTGTAAAAGTGGGATCTTTTGACATTTTCCTTCCTGCTGTTGCACTGTGACCAAGTTGCATCAGTGACACTTTCACAGTAGTTTTATGCCTAGAAACACAAGTTGTCAGCTTTCACTGTCCATTCACTGCTCTGGCATTTCTTCAGCTTTTTATGGAAGTCCTACTTCTACTTAGCGACTCACTTCTTCTTGCTGAAAAATCATTTTATGCAGAAAGCGTCTCATCGTACCTCGCTCCCTGCCATCACTGCAATAATCCTGCTTTGTCAGCCTGATTTATTTTAACTTTAGTATAAGCAGCGACACACAACACTTCATCATGGTGGTGTACTACATTGTTTACCAACAAGCCTGCCGATGTCTATAAAAGGCACTTTGCTTGCTTCCATCCTTGTGTGCTCCGCTGTGGCCAGTGAAGTGTACTGCTATTGTGTTGACAAGTGCTCGGCCGCTCGCTGTGAGCATGCTGTCCAAGCATGGCTTATCACAGGAGCACTGACCTTTTACTACAAGAACCTGCTTCAGCCTGTGTTCCCTCCTTTGTCATGTCACTGCCCGTCTTTCTGCCTCCCTGCCTTTTCCCTCCATCTGGTCTTCTGTGCTCCTGCTGCTATCATCAGCTGTCTTTACTTGGCTGCTCGTGTCTCCTCCCAGGTTTACCTACCTGTCAGTTCTTCCGTTTCCCTTTTTACCAGAACACTGTTTTCCCTGCAGTTTCCCACAGTAGCGCTTATTTGCCTACACGTTTTTCATAAATCTCTCCACTTGTCTGCCTCTGGCTATTTTTATCCAACACGTACAGTTGTACCTGACAGTGGAGTTGAGTAAACGTGATTTATATCACAGACTCATGACAGGAGTCACTTTGAAAGTTACCTTAGGAGTTTAAAAAAAAAACCTCCCATCTCAGAGTTGGGCTTAAAAGTTATTTACAAAGTGTCCTGCTCTTACTTTCTCCCAAGTACATGTGCTGTCACTGTTTCACAGCACAGCTGCAAAGTCAACATTATAATGAGGTGGAGTAGTTTTTCTGAAGGTAGAGGTTTGTAGTTTTAAACCTGAGACTATAACTGAAACATGAAGTGAAGGCTTTGTGTGTAGAAGCTGGTAACATGTTCATTAAACACTTTAGTAATGTGCTTTATACAAATTCTCTTTCTGTAATAGGCTGCAAGTTTAGCAGAAAGCCATTGATATGACTCACCTGTGTGAAATGATCAACCCTCTGCGATCTCACTTTCCCCCTAAGTCCATGTGATAAAGCTGTGTAACCAGAGGGAACACGATTATTTTCAAACAAAAGTTTGAGCGGCACTTGAGTTGTACGTAAACCATTTGGGATTGGTGTGATGATTTAATGTGACTCCAACACGCCAAAGGAAGCCAAAGATGTGTACGTTCTTTGTAGCTGGTTTTCCACAGCTCCAAATATTAGGGAACTTAAATGTCTGTGCACTATGACTGTCAGCTCTGACAGACTCCAAAGGTCACTGTCGCTGCTGCTGCACCCGTTCACAGGGTGAGCAGCAAGCTAGACGTCTATTACATTCATCTCTTTCCAACTCCACACCCCTACATTTTTCCATTTTCAAATTTGTAGGCTTCAGATGCAGCTTATCAGATCTGAAGCAGCTGCCTCTGGAGCCACAAAAGGTTCTAATCAACTTTTCCCATATGAAGTAGTACTTTAACATTTTGGGTGTAAACTCAGCAGTTTGCCCTCTTATAAAGGTCAGATCCCAAGCTTGCATGATTGTACCTCTAAAAGTAATTTACTCTGTCTGACAGGATTTTTTTAGTTTTAATCAAGTAACATATACAACAGTGCACAACAACACTCCCCCAAAACACACACACACACAAAAGGATCTCCACCCCAGTACACGCATGCTAACCAGTCACCTGTATCTTTTTGTGCTATGTCACAATTCTAAAGTTCTAGGGGCATCTAAAGGAACACTAACCCTGTAAAGTTCTTAGATCTGTAAAAAAACAAAAACATAACCAGATCCTCAGAGCCCACATCCTTTCATGGACCAAGGTGCTCTGGAGCTCTCTGTAGAGCAACATTAGGTGGGATATTCTCAGTCTATTTGAGAAAAACACACTTATGAGTGACTAAAAAGGAGCATTTTACAGGTATGCACCTCCTATAAAAAACTTTACATTTTAGATAGCACTAGTAAAATGAGTTTAGATACAATGAGCTGCTCAAATAGAGAGAAAACCTCTTCACCCTGGACAATGTGATCAGGAACAGGCATAAAGGTCACGACCAGCTTCACTGCGCATCCAGCTGCCTCCCCAACCAAAGCCGGGGCAACACCACAGCACCTGCAGAAGCAATGTCAGGATCAGCTGATAATGACATGAGATGACAGGACTGCACAGAGAGAAAGAGTGAAGCAAGAATGGGGAAATAATTAAGGAGCAGGCATTTTCTAACAACATGTATTTAATGTATCTTTCTGTAAAGAGTTCAACAGGCAGAAGAGAAAATAAATCAGTTATTTTTGAAATCACAGCTCTCTCTCACACACTGAGATTATGCAACCAAGTGTCTTTTGCTCCATCCTGCCTCACTGGCTATTAACTCTGAAACTTTAAGTGGAACTTCACTACTCCCTGTTCTGTTTTAGCACCTTTCACACACCTATAGCTCCACACACCTGGTCTCCCTTGCTCTTCCATTACCTTAAAGACACTCTACTCGATTTCATTTCAGCTTGGAGGGTCTAGTGAGACACAGACTGACACCATAAGCCACCCCTGTGGTTTTGGTTTTATGTTGCTGTGCACGTCGGGGGCCATTGGGCTGGAGTCAAACTTCTTGCATTTCTGATAATACTTGGCAATAAAGTTTATGCTTATCTGCCCTTTGCCTCTTCATAAACTCTTCATGGGCTTGAATGATAACTAATTCTGTGGATAAATGACCTTCAATATCAGGCAGCTCTGTAACACAAGTGAGCAACAAAGTTTATAGACTTAGGAAAGCAGAAGAGATCCTCTTTGAAGGGCAGAGCTTG